GATATATATATATATATATATATATATAGCCTAATAATATAGACAATACTGACTGAATGGAAAAGTCCAAATGCATTAAGAATATTGTCATTCTACAAAATTCAAAAAGTATAATTGTCTTGGGCATGCATCAGTCAGTTTTGCGACACTAATATAGACATACAGTCAGTGTATATATATGTATATATATATATATATATATATATATATATATATATATATATATATATATATATATATATATATATATATATATATATATATATATATATATATATTAAAAACAGAGAGCCATGCTACGAAGTGCAAAGAAGAATCTGAGAAATTTTGCCTTTATTGGTCTTGTTGAATATCAAGAAGAAAGTCAGTTTGTTTTCGAGCAGACGTTTGGTTTGAAATTCCGCAAACCGTTCGTACAACGAACCCGGACATTCAGTAAAACCACGCTAAATCGCATATCGCCTACGGAGGTTCGAAAAATACGACTTTCAAATAAACTAGATATGCAACTTTACGAGTACGCCAAAGACTTATTCTTACAAAGATTGGAGTATTTTAGAACATTGCAGTCGAAAAAGAAGCCGACTCCTTGATATTAGCATATTTGCACAGCAAGATATATTATACAGATAAATTTATTTATAAATCGGGGCAAAACTATTACTTATTAGTGTTTATACACCGGTATAGACTATAGGTTTTTAGCACTGAAAATTTGAAATGTAAATAGTTGTATATCTCGTTGATTTTTAAGAGACGTGGCACATGCGCTGTGTAATGTGTTGTTACAAGTTACAGACTTGTGTAAACTAAAACTAAGATCTGATGAGAAAATTTATTATTTCTAATAAACGAGTATAAACATTGGAAATATAAACGATAAACAAATTGTTTCAATCGAGGTTTCAATATCATATTGTTTGTATATAAATTTCGGCATGCGAGCTCCCTAGGTAGCGAGAAAGATATATGACGCACCGAAAGTGATATGTATGTCAATATTTTGGTGCTCATGCTGTACATTGCACAGTGTGAAAGGTCTGGAATATTGCCTCTTGTGGCATTTCAATTAAGTAAAACTATTACAGAAGACGTGCTGATCAATAGCCCGCTAATATTTTGCGTGACAAGTGATTGATGAAAAGTGCTATAAACAAAAAGTGTTGATGTTTTATTCCTTGTTCACAACTCTACTTAGTATTCACTCTTTGTCTGTAGAATGACAACATTGTGAAATGTAGCCAATTCAACAGAAATTATCATATTCCCTCGGTCAGACACATTTAATGAATTAGCGCCAGTATTGGCTATTGCAATAATAAATTTGATACTTTAAGGTAGGTGAACGCAGCAAGCGGTATGGCGTCCTTATTGGGTGCAGATGAAGTTATACATTCGGAAAGGAGAACACTAAGTTTATCACATGCAATGCCAATGGCATTCAAATTCTTCGGAGCACTTGAAAATACATTTTAAATCGTATAATCCGTTTGTTATAACAATAATTCTCATTGTAAGGAAGTTATTTTGCAACATGAAATAATTAAATAACTTCACACCTAGACCACTCACTAGCTATTGTCATTGACCGACAGATAAAATCTTGTCATCCATAAACATTATCGTGACTTAACTAACTGTGTGACTACTGCATTATACAATATTTCGCACGTCCTACACGGAATAAGACTGATATAGTATTTTTCTGTAATATAAACCATTTCAAATGTAAGATAGGGTGAATATCAGTTCTGTTGCAGTAACTTTATTGTTTGCACCCTGCTAAGAATGACAGTTCAAAAATGTGTCCTACTAATGTTTTCTTGGGAGAATTCCAAATAAGTCTTGGTCATTTTATACCTTGAACTTTGTCTGGTTGTCTCAATAACCAGATTACTGTAATCCCAATTGTTAGGTCATGTGTAATCTGTTATATCGGCGGATGAGAAATTGTGAAGTCGGTAAAAACCAATGCATGGCCTTAAAAACCATGGAGACTTTTGGCATGTGGAGTCAGTTCATCAGTGATCAGTAATCAAATATGAGGCTGGTAGGAACAAACTATACGACATAATATTCAACTATCTGGCCGTTGTAAAGTGTCATATAAATGTTCAATATTATGTCAGCCACAGTGATTTGAAGCCATCAAGAACATATGAACTAATGGTTGATAGTTTTATTGACATATAATTTACACATGTTTATATAATTTTGTCAACATACTCACCGTAACACAGTGATGATTAGCAGACAATTTTTCTAACCAATGTATATAATTATCGAGCAAAGAAAAGACAACCACAGCAACAAATCATTCACCGGCCCTTTCAATTTCATTGTTCTTTTGCCTAGCTGCACTGATATACAGCTAATTCAATTAATAAAAGGATTTTGAAGGGTAAATGGGGGCTGAGCCATTTATCTGCTGCGAATGAGATTTGGTAAATTAGGCCGTGTCTCGGTTGACTGGGATTCAGACAAGTTTTGACTGGGAAAACAGGATTGAAACCCCCTTGAAGACACGAATTTCGATTCATGGTTAATGGGTTTGGGTTAGGGTTAGGGTTAGGATGCTGTCTCTTTGTTTATCGCAATCAAGTTGCGTAACACAAATATATACATGGGCGTAAATATCTCACTCATATTTCTTGCTTTTCAATTTATTTTCCCCATTTTTTCCACCCAACTTACGTTGAAAATTTGTCCAACTTGCGTTGAAGTTTTGCCCAACTTATCGATCGACCTTTCAATTTTTCGGGGGGGGGGGGGGGGGGGCGGGCAGTTGCCACCCTGTCTCCGCCTCGTACGCCTATGATTGCACAACTTGTCCACCATGTAAAGATCTGCTCCAGATCTATAACCAATATTAAACTGACAGAGAAAATTTTAACCACAAACACAAACTGGATATTAGTCCGGCAGTAACTATACATCTTTCTTAATTTAAATTGAAATAAAATGACGAGTTTGGTAACCACAAACCTGGCAGATCGAGATTATAGTTGAATTTGATTATTACATATCGGGATCATAGTTGAATTTGATTATTACAGTTTAGTGATTGTTTAATTTACTGATAATTATGTCGGCTAACTTTGTTCGTTTTACAGAGAAGGTCAGTAGATCGAGTACGTACGAGCTTGGTTCTCCGGCCTGATCTCCTAAGGGAGCGGTCATTATTTATGGCGGAGGATGGCACCGAAGAGAAAAGGGTTGCGTAAAAAACATTTTGAGTGAGTAAAAGGTTGGGTAAATGAAAAACAAAACAACCCAATGGTTGGGTAATAAAAAAATATTGTCATTTCCAAAGCATGACTCACTGAAATATTGGAGACTGAAAAGCAATGTCAACAGTGATATGCCAATACAATATGTGAATCAATCAGAGCATTTCTATAAACTGTGATCAGAGTCACTATCTTGACCGTTTTCCGATTTGTTGGGCAAATTGGTGTGTCCAAAGAAACTACATGTGCAGACAATATGAAACTTTAGACTGCAGAAACTTTCACAAGCCGTTATCAAACTCATATCAGTGATATCACAGAAGTGGTGAAGGACATGTGTGACAACTGACTGGTATCATTTTGTAAAGTTTTTTTGCCAGGGGTGGGTATTTATTTTTTAATTGAAATTTGAGTTGGGTAATCAAATTTTTTGACTTTTTAATGGTTGGGTCAGCAAAAATTTTCCCAAGAAAAACATTTCTCTTCGGTGCCACCCCCCACCATAAATAATGACCTGTCCCTTTAAAGCGACACTGATAACGTCGTTCGTAGAAAAAATAAGACTATGTGCACACGTTAACGTTTCGAGCGTTTTCAGCTGTAACGTTTTCAAAAGTGTCGTTTTCAAGATTTTCAAAAACGTTTTAAAAGAGTTTTAAAAAGAAAAAAAAAGTTTAAAAAGTTAGATTTTCAAAAAAGTTAAAAAAGTTTAAAAAGTTAGGGTTATAGGGGTTAGTGGTTAGGGGTTAGTGGTTAGGGTTAGTGTTAGGTGCCGCGAATTTATTATTATGGTAAATTCAAAATGTGCCGCGAATTTATCATAATGATAAATTCGGACGTATTTAAGAATTTACTCATATAGTAAATTCAAAGGTGGAGCTCATGCTGTCTTATATACGAACAGTCTTGTTCCGTTAAGAACATTACCTCACGAGCTTTATGTGCTATTATGCTAATTCCTTTAAATTAACCTGGAGAAAACTGCCCAAACGTCAAAAGCAGGTACAGTTCAATTCATTCTTTTTTTCAGTATAGCGCATGCAATCTACTTTTCCTAACTCACATCGTTTCTTATATGCCAAAACTATGCAGTTAAACTTTAAAATTTTTTTTCGACTATTACAAATTAAAGGATGTCCTGTCTTGAATTACCTATATTATCCGTTAACTACTGAAAATGGCAGCGTATCAAAAAACTGATATGGCTATTTATGTTATTACTTATAGTGTTGGAACTCGCTGGCAAGTAATGAAAATTTTGGTTTCCACCTTCGTTGCAATTTAATTTGGGAAGAAAAATTTCCAGAGGAATGACTGCATGCTTTTTATTCGGAAAATGAAACACTCTATTCAGTTGGAACTACGGAGTGCGTTAGAATGGGGAACCAATCGATACCTCAATAACCTCATTATATGTATATCGGCTTCATGTAAATTTTCAGGTTGCACACTATAACAAATACTGTAAGCCGGATTGGAAGGAATGACCACCAGAGGACTATACATGGAAAATATTTTCTGTTGTTAAATGAAGAATATTATATTTGGTTGAAGTACCAACAGAAAATAAATTTAATGCTGGGAACTATATACCATCCTGGGCAGGGACGCCGGAACGATGTGAAGGCAAGGGGGGCAGATTTTCGTGAAAGAGCACTTTTGAATTGATATATACTAAGAGATGTTTGCAAAACATCTGGAGTTGAACTTCGCCCAATCATGTTTTCTATTTATTGGATGATAGGGGTGTGAGGGGGTTCTCCGCCAGGCGATTGCGCTATTCTTGAAGCTCGATGACTGCATTTCTTGCGTTTTCTGAAGCAAATTCGTAAAAGAATTGCACTAACATTTCTGACAATTCACTATTTCGCCAAGGCAATCCTTTAAATTGAAAGGGCTCCTTTGCCCCCTCCCCCTTGCCCCTCTTGGTAAAGGGTAACGGGGGCGGCTGCCCCTCCTGCCCCCCCCCCCAGTTCCGGCGTCCCTGATCCTGGGTTTATGATGTAAATCAGTGTAAGTCGCTGGTCAATTTGTTCGCGGGTCGCGGGTTTTTTTCGCGGGTTTTTTTCCCGACACTTAAAATCCCACACATACTTCCAGGGTCAGGCTTCAGTATACAATTGACAACAGGGGCCTGTTGTTTGTGAGCCAGTTAGCCTAGATAAGCTTCGACTATAACAAAAAACTTCAATCAAATTTTTCAACAGTTTGTTTTTAAATAAAGTTTAACTTTAACAGTCATTCACAAACATATATAACCCAAAACATGGGCTTAGCATTCAAGTTAGGGTTAATTAATAGTGTGCTAACGGGAGTAACGAGTTTAATTAATTAAACAACGGGCCTCGGAAGTGCATATTTTACCGTCATCGTAAGGGACCGGTCATAAAGTATTTACTAGGGGATGTGGAGGATACTTTTTGGGGGTACGAAAAAATCCCAGAACCTCTGAGGGGGGGGGGGGGCAACAGAACCTCTAAGGGGGTACCAAAATCTTACTGTACTATAGGTACGGAAAAAAATTACATTTTATAATTACTATTGAATATTGAATGTATTTGTGCCCAGATTAAGTTTGGAAAGAATTGTTTTACTATAATTATTTTTAAATCAACACAAAGTATACATACTTTGTGTTGTATGTATAGTACTCCAAGAGTCCCCGCACGGATACTGAATCCTACTTTAATATCATCTGACATTGTGTCAGACTGAAACATACATGTTTCAGTCTGACACAATGTCAGATGATAAGGGAGCATTCATTTTTTAGCTGGGGGGGTGGGCCGGAGGAATTTGGGGGTGGGTCAGCCAATTTTGACATGCTTCAAAGGGGTGGGTCTTTTGATAGTTTTGGTATAAATGGAGGGGGTCATAAAAATAATCAGTGAAAAAATCACCAATATAATTTTATAGAA